CTGCTCACCTGGGCTGTGCCCTCCTGCTCACCTGGGCTGTGCCCTCCTGCTCACTGGGCTGGCTGTGCCCTCCTGCTCACTGGGCTGTGCCCCCCTGCTCACTGGGCTGGCTGTGCCCCTGCTCACTGGGCTGGCTGTGTCCCTGCTCACCTGGGCTGGCTGTGCCCTGCACACCTGAGCTGGCTGTGCCCTGCCCTCCTCTTTCTTGCCTCAGTCTCCTTACCATGGGGCATTGGTGGAACCAATGATGAACAAAAGCTTCTTTCTCGCTCTTGACCTTCCAGGATCCTTGTGAGCTCATCTCTGCCTGTCATTCAAGCTCTAGTCCTGGAAAAACTGGGTCCCGTGCAGATGGCAGCCTTGAGGAGCTGGGGGCGTGGGTGGGAGCACCCAGCAGGAAGCACTGAGGAGGAAGGGCCGTGCTGAGAGCAAACAAAACCCATCTTCCCTCCCACCCCCACCAGGTGTGGGAGATTTTAGGGTTGGAGAAGAAGGAGCCAGCATCCGGCAGCAGAGTTGACCTTCTCTGTCCCTGCCAATCATGTGCCACAAAGGGAGGGGACCCATCTCCGGCAGGTGGCACCCGGATGCCAAAAGCACATCCCGTCTCCTTTAAAAACAATGTATTTTGTTAAGTCATATTTCATTTGATTTCTATGTGTATTTTTTTAATTGGAAAGTGAGATATACGGAGAGAAGGAGAGACAAAGAGGAAGATCTTCATTTGCTGATTCACTCCCTAAGTGACCACAACAGCCGGAGCTGAATCAATCCGAAAGTAGGAGCCAGGAACCTCTTCTGGGTCTCCCACATGTGGGTGCAGGGTCCCAAGGTTTTGGGCCGTCCTCGACTGCTTTCCCAGGCCACAAGCAGGGAGCTGGATGGGAAGCAGGGCCGCCGGGATTAGAACCAGCACCCATATGGGATGCTGGTACATGCCAGGTTAGGACTTTAGCTGCTAGGCTACTGTGCTGGGCCCTATCTATATGTATTTAAAATTATATAATTTTCAGACTTTCATGTCATTTTTTGAACAAATTGTTACAAAATTTTAAAAAATAATAAATTTATTGGAAAGTTAGATTTGCAGAGAGGAGGATAAAGAGGAAGATCTTCCATTTGCTTATTCACTTCCCATGTGACAGCAACAGCTGGAGCTGAGCTGATCCGAAGGTAGGAGCCAGGAGCTTCCTCCAGGTCTCCCACACGGGTGCAGGGTCCCAAGGCTTTGGGCCGTCCTCAACTGCTTTTCCAGGCCACAAGCACGGAGCTGGATGGGAAGTGGAACAGCTGGGACATAAACCGGCACCCATATGGGATCCCAGTACATGCAAGCCAAGGACTTTTAGCCACTAGGCTATCATGTTAGGCCCACACTTTTTTTCTCTTAATGTTTTCCACTGAAATCCATCTCAGTCTAAGCATGCTTCACATACTGCTAGCTTTATAAAACCCCCAAGTTTAAAGAAACAAAATTTGCCAAGCAAATGAAAATGTAAATTAGATTGATTAAAATCTTGTATCTTGCAGTCTGACAGCGAGAAGCAGCCCCCTCCCCTTCCTCCACTGTGGACACAGGAGAAAAAAAATTAAAATGCTTGTTCCACCCACCTTTTCCATGCCTCAACCTTCTCCATGCTAATCAACCACATGGACCTGTACCCCTCTCAACTATGTAAATAATACTAAAAAGGAAATAAAAATCCAAAAATCCTATATTTTAAGGTGCTAGTTTTATGAAGAAACACTCTGCTGGCAGCAACATAAAATACAGTTAGTGCCCTTTAGAATGTATAAATGGATAAGATTCGTTTTTTCTTCTTTTTCTGGGATGTGAGAGACATAGCATGGGCACTTTCTCCTGACCGGGATGCCAGCAGCACCATTGGATACACGCAGGCCTGGGCCAACTCCTGGAGCTGTGTGAGCCAGGGCAGTCTCTCTTTTCTTAAAATTAGAAAAACAAATGTATTTTAATATTTGCTATGAAGGTGAGGGGGTTGTAGATCCCATGTGGGCCCATTGAGAGAGAGTGGAGGGGTGGGAAGCTGGGGGAGATATATTTCTGTCTCTGTGTGTGCAGGGGTGGGCGTGACTACCCACTGTCACACTCTGCCAGCGCCAGGGGGTGGCGTTTGATGTTGCCATCGATACCCCGATAAGGGGAAGAGTGTTCCGAGGGTGTCGCTTGAGTGGTCTTGATTGTTCTGAGAACTTGTCGGCTTTGTTGCATCAGAGGTGAGGAATTCTTTAAGGCCAGTTGGCTGTCCTTGTCTGCCTCAGCGTGCCTGCAGGCTAGGTGCTGGCTGTGGAGCCTGGCCTGGAGTGTTGTTCAGTCTGTCCTGCCTTCCATCTTTTGAAGAGGAACTTGAAGTCTTCTGCTGGCTTGTGTGAGCTGGCTGGCTTATCTTTCGTGTGCATTTGGGTATGTTCTCTCTTCTTGAGGTGAAGCCAGCAACTGAGCTGGCTCAGTCCTGCAACATGTGTTCTGGGGCCAGACTCCATCTATGTGATTTTCCCTGAGGTTGGGAGGTCTAGCTGGGGAGCCCCCTAAGAAATTCCACCTGGAATGTCTTCAGACATGGCTTTGGGGTGCACACCAGTGGGTGCATTGGTCTGGCTTAAGGAGACCCTCTGGATTCCCCCATCCAATCCATTCCCTGTCCAAGTTCCCTCAATTACCTGCAGGTGCCATGGCCTGGTCTGTGGAAGTCCTTGGAGATCATTTTATACATGTCAGACAAGTGGTTCCCACTCCAATTTGTGCCCAGCCCCTAGGAATGTGCAGCCCCCCACGTGCCTGTGGAAGCAACAGCAGTGGGCCAGCCCTCGCTGGTGAGTGCCCAGCTCTGTCTCCCCCAATAGTTTTTCTTCGTAAAACAAAAAAGCATAGGCAACTGTGCTGACACACTGTTAACACAGGTGGGTGAGATAAATGTTACAATGCCCGCCAGCTATTGGTTGCTTTTCTTGGCAGGAGTGTAACACCTGCCTAGGTACACGGCAACCTGGGGCTACTGCCTACAGCTGGGGGCCCCCTTTTGCTTAATCGCACAGACATTAGCCCCTGTGCCCAACATCTGCTTCCCGCATGGTAGACGGGCTTGCCTGGCTCCTGCCCAAGCCGCACAAGAATGAGCCGTCAGCCCTGCTTGCTGCACAGGTGGCTGGGGACCCTGCCAGGGTGCTAATGTTACAGACTCCAGGAAGAGCATGCATGGCTTGTCAGAACATGCGTGGGGCCACGAAACACAGGGCTCAACCTCTCGCAGCAAGGCAGCGGAGCCTAGAACAGCTCTCCAGGGTCTTGCTTCTCCCTCTTGGTGTGGGTTTGCCCTGTCCTGGGGATCAGGCTCCCTGGAACCTCTTCCCCCTCTAACTTCCCTGTGCTCAGCTCACTCATACCTCCTAGGAGCCTCGCAGCCTTGCGCTAGCCATGGCTGCCCCATTTCCCTGTGGCTTCCAGTCCAGAATCACCAGAAAGAACTCAAGGGGCTTGGCTTGTGTTTTCAGCTTGCTGTCAGGTGCCCTGAGCTGGTCGAGTTCAATGCCATCCTCACGCCCCCTGGTGGAGGTGAGGTCTCATGGAGTCTTCGGGGGCTCCGCAGGCAACAGGTTCACCGATGACGGAGCTGGGTGGATGTTGAATTTCTGCGAAGGTGGGAGAAGGTCCCGTGAGCAGGAGGTCAGGGGTTATGTTTAGCTCCAGCTCTCTCGGCGGCCTGCTGGGTGACGCTGGTGCATCCCTTCCCTTCTGCATGAATGAAGTCTCTGAAGTTACAATGCCGTTTGCCATGCACCTGCTCGGAGTCCTGCCCACAGGTTCACTGCTGAATTTCCTGGAGGGCGGTACTCCTCTGAGAGATGGGAAAGCGCAGAGGGGTTGAGCAACTTGCCTGAGGTCACACAGCTGGTAGAGCAGGCCCCCGGACCGTATATATACGTGTCTGGCTTCAGCAACCCTCCTTGGGACCCCACCCTGCTTCCCCGGAGCACTTGCTGCGCCCGAGTCCACCACACATCCCTGCGCAGTGTGGCGATTCCTGCCTCCGCCTTTCATGCTTCTGTGGGCCGCATGCCGCCGGAATGGCATCTTTCACTTCCCGAGACTCCAAGGAGGAGGCGGCAGTAGATGGACAAGGCCAGGGAGGGTGTCTGTTCTGGTGACTCCACAGGCCAACCGCCCGTATCAGGCCAGGGCAGGAGCTTCGCCAGTCAGAGACCCTCGGGCGGCGCTGGCAGGGAAGGCCCTGGCGGGTTCTCCTGGAGCTGGTTTCCAGGACTGCCGAGCGCTTGATGGCTGCCCAGGGACTACACAGTCTGTGGATCTGCCTGGCTGGCATGGGTGTGCCCCATGGCGAGCCGCTGCTGGAGTGAATCCCTGGAGAACCAAGTACATACTTGCCTGATCCAAGGGCCTCGAGGTGTGCGCCAGGACTCCCTGGTCAATGACAGATGGAAGGCCAGGGTGAGGACATGGCCATTTGCAGTGGGAGTCCCTCCATTTCTTGCTCAAAGACCCCAGGTGCCTGGCTGGGGGCAGCCTCACGTTGGGAGTGGTGGTTCGGGCCCATCCCCGAGGCAGTCAGGAAATGTCAAGTGGAATCTGGCAGGTGGTGGCTTCCAGCAGTCTCCAGGGCTCCGGTGCCAGGAGAAAGGACGGGGAAATCTACCCTGTCCGGAAGCCACCGTGCCCTCTGCTCCATGCCTCAGGGCTTCTCCCGGAGCCACAATGGCCGTTCTGTGTGACCCTCTCGGAGCTGTGCTTAGAGACATTGAGTGAGCACGCCCTTGGGCTAATTGGATGAGGCCGTGTCTTGGGAGGGGCGTGTGCAGCAGGTGACCAAGTCAGAAGGGTCATTGTGGGGAGGCTGTTATTGTTGCAAAGTGGGCGCAGCCCGGGGCGGGGCGGCCAGCCGGACAGGCCGATTACTATTCACAGCTTCTGGGCTTTAAAAGAGGTGCTTTCCCTGCAGCAACCCAACTCCCGAGCTGCAGCCATGAGGATCCTCGTCACTCTGCTGGTCCTGTTCCTCCTGGGCATCCAGGCCGATCAGGGACCTGAGTGGACCTACTCAGGTAAGCCCCAGCACCCTGCAGTCTCCTTGGCACAGTCTGGCACAGCCTCCTCATGGGCCCCTGCCTGGGGTCTGCTTGGGGCAGTGCTTGGCGACCCGGCTGCACAGCTAGGCTCTGGGAGCGTGGAGATCGAACTGGACATCAGCCTCCTTCGGGAAAGGAAGAAGCTGCTGGTCTGCTCCGCAAAGCCCCGCATGCCTCAGTCTCACTGGGACAGCTTCCTGCCAGCAGTGCCGGCTGCTGTGAGAGCCCACGGGCTGCTCCCCATGGTAAAACCATTTGAGGTTTTCCCAAGTGGAAAGTCAAGAGATTAGGAAGGATTCCCACAGCCTCACAGACAACGCTGTGGGATTAGAAGCGAGAGTTCCCTTAGAAATTCCACGCCAGGCAGTTCATCTACAAGCCGACCACGGCCCGTGTCCCTGCGTGTCCCTTAGGCTCCCAGGACAGCCTTTTAAAACATGACACTTCAAATGCCAGCATTCAGCACTGGTCCTGGCCCATGCGCGGGTCCAAGACAGGACACCCATGGACACGAGGCACCCCTCTTCTTGTGCACTGGACCGTGGCTAGGGACCCACAGGGAGAGGTTCATGGCCACCAGCAGGCCCGCCAGGGTCACTGTGGTCTTGAAACTGCTCCCTGCGGTATCTGTCCCCGCCTCTCACACCCACGGAGTCAGCACACATCTGGGCCAGTGGCACGACCTATTACATCCGAGGCAATGGCACTCAGGGCTTTCAGGGACAGCTCAGAAAGTGCAGTCAACTGAAGGCAGGCCAGGAATGGCCACGGCTGGCCAGCCCCTTCGGCCTCCAGGACCTGCCTCGGATGGCCTGGGATTGGTTCAGAGGTCGAGGGAGGCTTTGAACAGTGCCACTACTGCCCTGCCAGGGCCACATTAGCCTTGGAGAGCACAGTGCCCAGGAATAGCCTTAGAAGGCCTTCCGGGAAGACTCTGAGAATCGTCCGACTAGCATAGGTTCCTGGGGCAAAGCACTGGAACCCAAGAGTGAGCTGTGCTGAAGGCCCTTTGAGTCGCTGAGCCACAAAGAATGGAGAGAAGGTGTCCACTTTCCCACAGGTCACACTTCAAGGAGCTGTGAGAGGCCCTGGCACGCTCACAATCCTGAAAGCAAGATCTGTGCCCACTGTTTAGTGTCCCCTGCAGGCAAGGGGAAAGTGGGTTCTGCCACCGAGTGGGTGAGACCAAAACCCATAGGTGCCTGTGGGTACCTTAAAGGCGGCGAGGGGAGAACAGCAGGGGAAAAAACTCTTCCCCTATTCTCAGACATGGGCTGCGTTGGCAGCAGACACCAGCTGTGGGCACAAGTTGGTACTGCAGCCTGCCCCATGACTAGAGCCCTTGGAGGTGGCTTCGGTGCCCTTTGCCCTCCTCCTGAAGCCCCACCTTGCCTTCTAGAACGTGGGGTTTCCTGCTTGCCAGGCTCTGCTGGTCTCTGGCCAGGTCAGGCAGCCTCTGGAGACGTATTCCGCTTTCTCCCATCCAGAGGGGGCACTGGAAGAGGGGTCCTGGGCCACAGAGTACCCAACCTGCGACGGGTGGAGGCAGTCGCCCATCGACCTGCAGAGGAAGAAGGCTCAGTTCAATCCCCAACTGAAGGCGCTCAACCTGACGGGCTACGATACTGCCTTTGAGAGTCTCTCCATGACCAACAATGGCCACACAGGTAAGGGTGGCCCCTGGCAGACCACACAAGTGGCCAGATGACGCCCACGCCTACTAAGAATGGCAAGCACAGAGTCCCAGAGCCTAGGCCTCAGGTGTGGGTGAGGGGAGGCAGAAAGCAAAAGCAAAGCAGCTGGGATTTCAAGAAGGGGCGTCGGTGGCAGCTTAAACCATGTGCCACCATGGCTGCCTCCCCAAGGTTTCAAAACACAGCCAGGAGTAGCTGGCCTTGGGGCCCTCGCTCCAGGAGGCCCCTGGCCAGCTGGGGAGGCCATACTTTGGCCCTTACAGGATGCCCTCCTGATTCTCCAAGAGTTTGTCTCCTCTGAGCTGTCTGGCAGCACAGCTGGGCAGGGAGTGGGGCAGCTGGGAGTAGAAGGAACCCGCTCAGGGTCACAACCTCTAATGGCTCAAATGGGCCTAGACCCCCAGACATCTGACCGTTAGCCATGGCCTGCTGCACGTCCCATTCTCTCACTTCCACTTGGATTGGGCTAAACTTAACACACAAGTGGATGAAAGTCCCTGAACTTGGTTGTCCCACTTGCGCTGATTGCCCATTACGGGAGCAAGGCCCCTGGCTGCAGCAGGAGGTTGGCTGCACTGTGAGTCACAGCAGCCAAAGCCTCCATGTGGGTCGAGCTCTGCTCTCTGAGGCCTCGAGCAGGTCGCGAGGAGCCCTGCCCGGCCCCTGGTGCGGAGGCACTGGAGTGCTGAGGGAGAGAAATGCAGTTTCCTTGAGCCCCACCTGGACACAGGGTCGGGAGCAGCGAAGCTAAGCAGCTGCTTGTGCCGGGGGTCCAGAAAGAGCAGAGGGCCCTGGGGCTGCTCCCCACAGGGCTGCACTTGCCCCCCCCCCCCAGCAGCCAGAGCCAACTCTCCTGGGGTCTTTCCACACGTGTGTAAGAATCACCCACAGTTGTACTCATTACATTTTAAAAGATTGTTATTGGGTTAGATTCTCACACTTTATTTCAAATACATTTTGTTTACTTGAAAGGCAGAGAGGCCGAGACAGATCTTTCATATCAGTTGACCCCCCTGACCAGGGCTGGACCGGTCTGAAGGCATGAGCCGGGAAGCCCAGCTGGTCTCCCGCACGGGCGGCGTGGGCTGTCACCCGCGGCCTGCTAGGGAGCACGCGTGTGGAGCTGGAATGCGGAGTGGAACTGGGTTCAAACCCGGATGCTCTGACATGGCATGTGGGCATCCCGAGGGGAACGTGACCACTACACCAGATGAAAGACAGAGACAGACACGCAGCACGCAGCCTTTTTAGCTTGGCTTCTCTCAGTGACGAGCATGGGCGTTTCCTCCATGTCGTGTTGTGACCACACAGCTCCTGTCGCCCTAGCACTGAACACTCCTGTCCTGTCTGGAGCTACCACAGTGTATTTTTCCACTCACCTGCTGAAGGTGAATGGATAAATTTGCTTCCAACTTTTTCAAAGCTGCCTTGAGATCTGTGTGTGGGGTTCCATGTGTGGAGAGAGGTCTTCCACTGCTGGCTTAGGGGAGGGGACACTGAGGGTGTCACGGCAGGGCTGTGTGGCAAGAAGATGCTTTGCCACCCACCTGTGTGCCTGGTGGCTGGGCCATCTGTCATCTCCATTGGCAACAGGTTGAGACCTGTTCCCGCTCCTTGCTGGCATCTGGCGCTGTGAGCGTTTGGGATTTGAGCCACGGTAGCGTGTGGTGGCAGCTCGCTGTCACGTGACGCCCAGGACACGTGATCTCAGGCAGTTCTTCATGAACTTGTTTACCATCTTTTAGCTTCTTTGCCAGGCGGCTGAGTAGATATCTTGTCTGCTTTCCAGTAATGTTCATTTTTTAAAAGATTTATTAATTTTTATTGGAAAGGCAAGCTGACAGAAAGAAGGAAAAAGAAAGATCTTCCACCTACTGGTTCATGCTCTAAGTTGATGCAATGGGCAGAGCTAAGCATATCTGAAGTCAGGAGCCAGGGGCTTCTTCTGGGTCTCCCACGTGGGTACAGGGTCCCAAGGCTTTGGCCATCCTCTATTGCTTTTCCAGGCCACAAGCAGGGAGCTGGATGGGAAGTGGAGCTGCTGGGAAATGAACCAGTGCCCATATGGGATCCAAGTGTCTGCAAGTTGAGAATTTGGCTCTGGAGCATCTTGCTGGGCCCAGCGATGTTCACTGTGTTAAGCTTTAGGGATTCTTGGTGTATCTGGTAGTGGTGCTTATGCATTCTCCCTGTGGGTAGTTTGTCTTTTTATTTTCTTGCTGTTGCCTCTGGCAGAATGATTTTTCTGGTTCCAAGGTGGTTAATTTGGAAAGTCATCGCTGGTGGCCAGCGTTGAGGTGGAGTGTGCTAAGTCACTGTCTGTGACACTGGAATTCCACACGAATGCTGGCTCGAATCCTGCTTGTTTCTCACCCACTTCCCTGCTAACAGACCTGGGAAAGCGACAGAAGACAGTCCAAGTCCTTGGAGCCCTGGGCCACATGGCACATCTGGATGGAGTTTCAGACTCCTGGTTTCTTTCTAACCTGGCTCCCGTTGTTGTGGCCATTTGAGGAGTTTAGCAGTGGATAAAAGATATCACTCTCCCTCCCCTCTCTCCAGTCACTTTCTCTTACTGTGCCTTTCAATGGATGCCAATAAATCTAAAGAATCATGCCCACGGTGGGTGTGTGGCACGGAGCTGAATTTGCTTGTGGGGCTGGCTGTGTCCCATCTCGGAGTGACTGCTTTGAGTCTTGGCTGCTCCAGCCCTGCTTATGTGAACCGTGGGAGGCCACAGGTGATGGTTCCAGTGCTTGGCTCCCTGACACCCTGCGGGAGACCCGGGCTGAGTTCCTGGCTTTTGCCCCGTCAATCCTGCATGCTGCAGGCCTCTGGGAAATGAAGTAGCGTGCAGAAGAGCTCCGTGTCTGTCTCTTTGCCTTTGAAATAAGACAGGCAGAAGTGTTACCACCGCACTCAAGATCATCTCCATTTCCTGCAAGGAGTGTTATACCTGTCCATGCTCCCTTCGGGGCTATGAGCTATGGTGGAAGGGACGTTGGGGGAGGGAGTGACTCACACTGCATGTTGCTGTCCAGGGGGGCCCGCATCCTTTGTTGAGAAGTTGTCTCTCCATTGTGTTGTCTTTGCTTTCGGTCAAAGATCAGGTGACTGTTTATACCAGTCTCTCCCGGGCTCGCTCTTCTACTCCGCTGAGCTGTTGATCTATTTCTTTGCTGACACCACCCTGTCTCAGCTACTTCCTTCATAGGAAGACTCCAACTTTGTTTTCTCTTTGTTGTGTTGACTGTTTTGGATTCTCTGCTTCTCCATATTGACGTTGAAATCGGTTTGTTGATATTCAACAATGGAATTGCTTCAAATCTGTAGAAGTTGGGAAAAACCAAAACCAAAACGGTGGCAAGATTAAGTCTTCCTACCTATACACGTGGAATAATCCTTCATTTATTAGTTCTTTGATTTCTTACATTATATCCTTTCATGATATGTTTCATTATATTCATTCATTATAATTCATTATATACTTTTCTCATTCAGGTCTTGTTCATATTTCTTTAGATTTATATATTTTCTTTTTCGACTGCTAATGTTTTAGGTTCAAAATGTTACATATATATATATAATCCATATATATAAAATAAGCTCTACATTAATTTTTTGTGATTTTTTTAAAGGCAGAGTAACAGCGTGAGCATGCCGCTATATTATTATTATTTTCAGTAGAAATAAAATTACATTCAGCAAAAATAAGTCAGAAGTATGAAAAAAACTGAAATCAGAAACATACTTGGATGTCAAGACAAAGTTCCACACATTTTTAAAAAAGATGTTCATTTCTGTCTTTGAAAGAGTAACAGAGAGAGAGACAGAGCTTTTCCATTCGCTGGTTTACTTTCCAAACGGCCACAACGACCTGAGCTGGGCCAGGAGCCTGGAACTCCATCAAGGTCTCAAATGGTGGGTAACAGGGTCTCAAGGACATGGGCCATCTACTTTCCCATACTCATTGGCATGGAGCTGGATTGGAAGTGAAGCAGCAGGGACTTGAACCAGCACCCATGTGGAATGTGTCTTGTAGGCAGCAGCCTCACCTGCTATCTCACAATGGCCATCTTTATTTCTCTAACAAATGTTCACTGACTGCATGGGAGTAGGGAACACTGTGCATGAAGGAGTCAATCCTCAAACAGGCTCCAGTTCAGGATTCTGGAGAGTTATGTATACATCTCTCAAGACCCTGCCCCGGGTTCAGAGGAGGACCTCCGCCCCAGGTCCTAAGCAGCCCAGTGGTTGGACCAGTCCCTCTGTCCTTGCTTGGCAGACAAAGGCTGTTACTATGGATGCCCCATGGCACCTCTAGAGGGTTGGGTAACAGGGAGCAAGAGCCTGGGCCTGAGTTGTACCTGGAACTGGAGCTGCAACTGCAGGTGCAGCATGGGCTGGGGCCTCGGGTTGAGCCTTGGCTCTGGGCTTGGACAGTCTGGACCAAGCGGGCACAAGGCTGCTTCCTGAGCTTGGGACGGGCAATATAGCTACATCAGTTGAGCTTGCTGTTGATACCCTCTGGGGTCATGGGCTTGATGAGGACCTCAGCAAGCTCAGCAGGTGCACTCGTAGCCTTGGCACTGTTGGCATCTTCTCTGGCCAGGCCCTTCTTCTTGCGCTTTTTGAAAAAAATGCACGTTCTTCAGGAATTTTGGGTTCAGCCCCTAAAGAGACTCACATCTTTGTGGTCAGGATTCTTGATTCTGTTCCTGTGCCATTTCCAGGACTGGTTGTGTGTAGTGTGGTTCGAAGACTTGGCCATATCTGAGTCATAATCTGTGGCTCCAGAAGTGACTGGAACCCTAAAGAAGAGGCTGAACAGGTTTTGCTCTCTGGAGTCTGTCGGGGGAGGTGGAGGCTGGCTGTGTCAGAGAGAAAACTCTGCCAGCCACTGATCCAGTCCCCAGATGCCTGTGAGGACCAGGGCTGAGCCAGGCTGGAGGCCTGATCCAGGAGCTCAACCCGAGTCTACCTGACAGGTGGCAGGCACCCAGCTTTTGGGGCTGGGACCTGCTGCTTCCCGGGTGTGCATTAATGAGAAGTGGAACTGGGACTCAAACCTACGCACTCTGAGAGGGGAGCAGGTGTTCCTACCAGACTCTTAACTGCTTTGCTCCATGCCCATCCCCGACCCCTTTTTAAACACTCTTATGTTAACATAACTTTAGACTATGAAAATTATAAATATGCATTCTTTTGCTTCTTCTAATATTCATATCCCATAACCATAATCAATGCTATGGGCCCTGGAAAATCAACATTAAAACATCTCGGTTAGCTCCCAACTTCCGTTAGCGACGTTATTTCCCATTCCCATCCTTCCTGGGACCAGGGTCCAGCCCAAGCCCCCTCCCTGCCTCCTTGTTCTCCAGTCTGTGTCAGGGCCCCGATCTTCCTTTGATTCTCATGGCCTTACACGTTATTGGTTATTTCTGCAGCAGGCAAGTGCTCCGATTCTGTGATTTTCCTGTTGTCACGAGCAACAGGTTAAAGCGCTTTCCCATGCAGGGGAGTAGCCTCCTCTGAAATCTGAGTCCACGTTGAGAATCTCTAGGTTCAACAAGTTGGGGTGGGGGAACAGGTGGTTTGGTCTTACCTTTTTGAAAGCTCTGAATCGCCGGGCTTGGTCTGACGGCCTGTGTGGGCCTGTCCATGGCAGGATCGAGACAGTCTGTCTCCTGGGAACTGTGTTTTGGGGAAGGGTAATTGTCAGGCTCACCCTCCCGGCCCATGTGGTGCTGACCATTCATTTAGGAAGCTCTGGGTTCCACTCCCCAGCTTCTGCCTGCTCTCAATGCAGCTGACTCCGCAGCCCACCTCTGAAACCATCCTCACATTTTCTCTTGCATGTCGATTTCAGGGCTGGCCACATTTCCGGTCCCACAGCACGAGGCACCTGTTCTGCCCAGGCCCTTGCGACTCTCAGTGAGCGGGGTTCCTGTGTTACAGTCCATTGCGTGAGGGATTGAATTATAGCTCCTGCTGTTTTAGGCCACCCAGGGAGGAAGAAGGGGGCACCATCCAGGCATGCCAGCCTGCAGCATGTAGGAAGTAGCTAATTTTTAGGGGCAGCTGTCGTGACTTCAAACAGGAAGCCACGCCTAAAGTACAGGCCCTGCTTATCTCTGCCAAATCTCCAGTTCTACACCACAGATGTCTTCCTTCACCACTCTCCGGTAGCACCACCCATTTTCCCTTTCTGCCTATTTCATTCCCTAGCTTGAGCCAGTGCCATGAACTGCAGGGGTCTGACTGGAGATGTCTCAGTAGAGAGACAGCAAGTGGAGGCCAGGGCTGAGTGGGGCCTAAACCAGAGGTTTGGAACTCCATCTGGGTCTCTGATATGGGTGGCGGTGACGCAGCTCCTTGGGCCATCTCCTACTGCCTGCCAACATGTGTTCCTGCAGGAGACGGAGACAGAGAGCAGAGCTGGGATTGAACCCAGATCCTCCCATACAGGATCTAGCAGCACCAAATGCCTCCCCTGGTCTCTTTGTCTTCTGAGGACTCTTGAGCTGTAGCAGAGTGACCATCACCTTGTCCAAGATGGGAATCTAGAAGCTCAGTGCTCAGCCTGCTCCGTTCCTGATGGATGAACACCTGACTTGGAGCAAGTCTCCCACCTGCCAGGGTCAGCTTCCTGTCGCTGTCCAGCAGTGATGCTCTCTTGCACTGGAGTAGAGCTGACTGTCGGACTCATTCCTCAAGGCTACGTGGGGCAAGGACTGTGACTGTATTACCAAGAAGGTAGCCATCTCAACTTGGCCATCAAACAGTCTCACTTTCTATTCCCAAAGGAGAATTTTAAACTTGGCCAGATACGGAGAGTAGAAGTCTGTTTTCGTGACTACTAGCCTTCCCTTTCCCCAGGACCAATAACCTGGACATCCACCCCAGAAGTGGCACCTGCCCCAATCTGGCTTACTCAGAGCCTGTCCTCTGTCCTGTAGCCTGTGCGTCTGTTCTCCTGTTCTCCCAGGGTGACCCATCTGCAGGACTGGCTCACCCTGGTTGCAGGCAGGGCGTAGTGAGGAGGGCCTTTATCTAACTGTGGATCTGACACATCCTGCTTCCTGTCTTGCACTCTCTCCTCCAGTGCAGATCAGCCTGTCCCCGTCCATGAGCATGACGACTTCCGACGGCACCGAGTACATAGCCAAGCAGATGCACTTCCACTGGGGCGGCGCCTCTGCCGAGGTCGGCGGCTCGGAGCACACCGTCGACGGGATCAGGCGTGTGATCGAGGTAGTGAGGACCCCAACAGGGCCTCTTTCCTTTCAACCCCACAGGCACGCTGTTACTACAGCAGCCAGAGGGCTTTGTGCGGTAGTGACAGTTCAGTTGCTGCGAGGTACAGTGTGTTCTCATTCACTCAACAGCTACTGGTGGATTACTAATTCACGCAAGGAGCACAGGAGGGGTCTCTGTCCAGGTCCTGCTAGAAGGAGTTTGCAGCCCAGCAGGGAGGACACTGTCCTGTATCTCAGCTGTTAGGCTTATGGTTGCCTCTTGGGTCTGGGTCCATCCTTAGGATGACCATAGCTTTGCAATAGGCTCTTGGGGCGACGGGTGTTCATGCACAGCTTTCTCCCCAGCCCCAGGCTTCAGCAGCACTGTATCCTCAGGTGATCTCCATGGTCTCTGTCCACTTGTCTGCTTGCAGGGAAGTGGGCCAGGGCAATGCCCTTGGGCCCCATTCTTCTCACAAGCCCACTCTTAGCCTTCCCATTGTTGGAGAAGTATCTGGTATTGAAAGAAGGGATCTGCAGCCCAGCTGGAAGGAGATGTTCTCAGGATTGTTCAGGGCAATTGGAGATCCCAGACAAAGCACTGTTCCTTTATACATTCTCTGATCATCTTAAGCAGTTGAAGTCTATAGGAAACATTCTTGACTTACGTGGTTTTGTCCTCACAGGTCCATGTTGTTCACTACAATTCTAAATACGACAGCTATGACAGAGCCCAGACAGAACCAGATGGCTTGGCTGTGATAGCAGCCTTCATCGAGGTATGTGTCTTGGGAAGTAGAGGGACGTACAAAGCGTTAGGTCTAGACGGAGGGCCTTTCTGTTGTCTCCCTTCTTCCTCGGAGAGCCTGACTTCCTGGCAGACTGGCCCATTTTGTAGTCATTGCACTCCTCCTATGGCGTCTACGTTAGGGACCGGGGAAACTTTGTGATTTAAAAGACCTGGAGTCACAGAGGGGCTGATGGGACACAACTTATCTGAAGGGCAAAAAGAAACTCCAACTTAGACATAGAAACCTTGGCAAATGCAACAAAGACCACAGGCTGGATGCAGAGCCGGAAGGCTGGGGCAGTCACAGAAATGACTGCAAAAGACCACCATAGCATGTCCGAAGTGTTAAAGGAAAAAACATGATAACAACGGCCCAAATAGGGACTCTCAGTAGAGGAGTAGAAACTAAAAACGCATAGATGGAAAGGCTAGAGTTGAAAAGTACAATAACTAAAATGAAAAAAGAATCTTTCGATGAGCAGAGTGTAGATGAGAGGCGATGGAAGACTCAATACAGCGGAAGAACAAGGGAACTGGGAGGAGAGGAGAGCCTTGCAGACCCAGCGGAAGAGCAAGGAGACTGGGAGGAGAGGAGAGCCTTGCAGACCCAGCGGAAGAGCAAGGAGACTGGGAGGAGAGGAGAGCCTTGCAGACCCAGCGGAAGAGCAAGCATGCCAACAGAGAGCTAACGAGCGTCCCAGAAGGAGAGCAGAGAAAGTGGCAGGCCAGATGTTTAAAGAAACAATGGCCTACACCTTCTCAAATTTGATGAAAAACATCCACTTACTAATCCAAGAAATCGAACAAACTCCAAGTCTGATAAGAACCCAGACGCATAAAAATCAAACTAATGAAAGCAACAAGAGAAAGAAGATTCCTTTGCTGTAGGGGATGACACTTTGTGAACACATACGAGAGGGCGGTGGGACAGCTGCTGGTGGATTTCTCCATCATCAGAAGTCAGAGAACGACCGTCCGCTACGAGTTCTGTGTCTGCTTGAGCCAGCCTTCCAGAGGCGCGATACAGGCAGTACCCAATCAACAAGAACTGAGGAAACTGCTGGGAGAGCCAGCTTGCAAGAAATAGAAAGGAATTCACATTCTTTGGCTGAAAGGATGAGAAATTAGGGTGCCCTCAAATCCTAAAAAAATCACTAAAAATGGTTAAGTAGCACCCTGAAGGTATTTACTTAACGTAAGAGTAGGCGGAAGATGGGGGATGTACAGAAAACGAAGTGTGCGCAGCGTTCACCAAGGTAGAAAATCCAGAATCTGCAGGGTAAGGAGCAACTGGGTCCACACCAGTGAAGAGATCTGCTCAGATAGAGCCTTCCCACCAAAAGCTGCCTGTCTGACTTCTGCAAGTTCCCGTGAAGAGGCGGCTCCAGCCAGGGGTGGTATGGTGATGAGAGGGCTTCGCCTTGGAAAAAGGTGAAGGAGGGAGCCGTGAGGCTATACTTCCTTTGTCGTGGAGCACCTGCTCGTGGCCACCACTGCCCAGGACGAGCCCCTGGGGGTCCTGCCCGTGGCCACCACTGCCCAGGACGAGCGCCTGGGGGTCCTGCGCATGGCCACCACTGCCCAGGACGAGCGCCTGGGGGTCCTGCCCATGGCCACCACTGCCCAGGACGAGCAGCTGGGGGGTCCTGCCCGTGGCCACTACTGTGCAGGACGAGCACCTGGGGGGTCCTGCCCGTGGCCACCACTGCCCAGGACGAGCAGCTGGGGGTCCCATTGGCTGTGATTTTCTGGGAGCCCCCTCCGTTGGAGCTGCTATAGCTCGCAGATGGGAGTCTCCCTGCAGCGGGGAGCCCAGGCAAACTGTGAGAACGGCCCAAGGGTCTCTACCCAGTGCCGCGGCAGGGGTCGGGGGCTGGGCTGCCTCCCACCTGTGCCCTGGGCTCTGCTCATTCAGGTTAAAAACCAAGCAGCTGGTACAGCAGCGATGGCTTTGGAGTCCCTCCTCCACTTGGTAATGCCTGGGTCTCTTTCGCAGATCAATGAGTACGCTGAAAATACCTATTATAGCCAGTTTATTTCTCGCCTGTCCGAAATCAAGCATCCAGGTAAGCCAGGAGGGGGAGCTGATGTTGAGGGCAGAGTGGGGCTGGCGCTACACAGCAGAAGGGGTTGCTGCTGGGGAGGGCTGCCAGGAAGCCCATCCCTGCCTGTGCGGGGTCACTTGTTCCAGTGACCACTGCTCAGACAGCATCTCCCCAGTGGTGCTCTGCTCATGAACTCAACTTGTTAAGCCCCAGTGGCTCCAGTGTCCCTGCGATGTCCTCACAGCAGGTGCAGAGAAAGAGTGAGAGAGAGAGAGAGCCAGTCCAGTCCCAAGCTGGGGTGGATCTCAAGAGTGAGTTGAGTCTGGCCACCCTGCGTGGACACATGGACATTTGGGCTTGGCTTCTGTCCCCTCACCTGCACTCATGGGTGGCTCAGGCCAGGGGCACTTGCTTGGAAGCCTCGGGCTGTGTCACTCATTTCTGTCTTTGTCCTGAACCTGTTGTCTGACGCTGGTGGCGGTAACGGTGACAGCCACACATGTAGAGCTTCCCAGGTGGGGGCTGAGTGCCAGCCTTTTCCAACTTCAGTGACACTAATGTTAATAATTCTGATAACCCACTACCAGTGGACCAGCCAAGTGCCAGCCTTTTATCCCATCCAAGTACTAACCAGGCCCCACCCTGCTCAGCTTCCGAGATCAGAAGAGATCGGGCACTTTCAGGGTGGTATGGCCGTAGACAAGTGCCAGCCTTTTCATAGACTCTCTCTTCCCTGCCTTCCAGACCAGGGGAGGGGTCTGGGGTGAGCATGGGGGCCAAGAGGAGGGGTCTGCAGTCCCTGCTCGGGACCACAGCTGCTTCCGTGACCCTGGGCTCAGCCAGGAGCTTGGACCATGCTGAGGTCTGAGCAGGGCTGGCTTCCCGCAGGAGGCAGCCCCAGCTGACAGCCCCTCGCCTCCCGCCCGCGAATAGGAGACGTCACCAGCATGGAGAACCTCAACGTGCGGAACATGCTGCCAGAGGACACGTCCCAGTACTACACCTACCTGGGCTCCCTCACCACGCCGCCCTGCTCCGAGAACGTCCTGTGGTTCGTGCTGGCAAACCCCGTCTTCCTCTCCAGGGTCCAGGTAATAGCGCGGGCCAAGTTCCTGCTTTCGATGGCCTGGTTAGCAAGCACACAGCCCTGGGTCCTGTGTGCACAAGACAACTGTGCCCCGCTGGGGGAGCCGCAGTAGCCCTCCCAGGGCTGTGGCAGAGACGGGAAACTGCCCGTTGGGGAATCTGAGGGAGCCTCGTTAGTGCAGCAGCAGTGGGAGTCCCCGGGCCATGGGGGAGCTGCCTTTGCCTGGGCTGAGCCACCGTGCGGTTCTCTGTACATGTGGCCATGTCCATGTCCCCTGGGCAGGGGGGTCGTGTCCCCCAGCAGGGCAAGGCCCGTTCACCAAACATTGCTGAGGTTTTGAGACAAAACTGATATTTTCCCTTTGTTCTTTTTTTTTTAAAATTTTACTTCTTTTTATTATTATCATTTCATGATACAGTTCCATAGCCCTGGGATTTCCTTATTCCCTCCCCAATTCCCATCCCGTTCACTGAGTTCCCTAAATCATTACTATAGTATAGTTCATACACAGTCATATGTCCGGCATTGCAGGCATGGACAATGGCAGAGAGTCCAGCATCCTACGGTCAAGATACAGTAAACAGTTTCATTGGGAGTCCATCTTTGTCTGGATGCATACTGCATTGTATCCTCACATCTGATATGATAGTCTCCATTACACAGTTACTGTACATCCCCTTAAATGAAAAGCCACAATCCTTTGTTCTTTTATATATATATATATAAAAGATTTGTTTATTCATTTGAAAGAGTCAAAGGGAGAGAGAGATCTTTCATCCGCAGGCTCAAGCCCCAAATGGTCCCAACAACCGGGCCAGGGCAGAGGCTGAAGCCAGGAGTTCACGCTAGCAAAGCGGAGCAGCCGGGACTTGAACTAACACTCAGGTAGGCTGCTGGAGTCACAGGTGGCAGCTTGACTCGCTGTGCCACAGTTTTTGAGTAACATCCTTCCTGAGAAGCGCATGTTTTTCTTAGTTTCCATGCCCTTCCTCCAGGAAGAGAAGGAAAAAGCCTTGACACTAGGACACGGGGACACGCAAAAACTGTGCAGACTGGGCTATTGGGTGCCCGGACACCGGGCAAAATCAAATGAGAATCCTGTCTGGAAAAGCCCAGCTTCATTGCAAATTCAGGACAGTTCCCACAGGAAATGAACTCATTAAAAACAAATCACAAAACACAAAAGAAAACAAGACACTGTGAGTGAGAACCAGCAGAGTCCAGAGAGTGGAGTTTCCGGGTAGCTAAAATGTACACAGAAAGAGGGGGGTTGAATATGAGGAAAGAGGAACTGGCATTGTGGGGTAGTGGGCAAAGCCATCGCTTGGGCATCGGTTCGAACCCTGGCTGCTCCACTTCTGACCCAGCTCCCTGCTAATGGTGTGGGAACGCAGCAGCAGATGGCCCAAGTATTGGGGCTCCTGCATCCATGTGGGAGACCCCAAGGAAACACTGGGCTTTGTTGGTGCCTAGGGTGTGAGTCACCTTTCTGTCTGTCCCTCCCTCTCTCTGTAGCTCTTTCAAATGAGTAAATACATGAATAATCTTGAAAAAAGGAAAGATGAAAAACTATAAAAATGACCAGACTTGAAAAAATAAAATCAAATGCAACTTATAGAAACGAAGAAATAGAAGTTGCAATTGGCCATTCCGCTATGTTAGCTACAGTCCAACAGAATTCATAAAGCGGAGGGCAGAGTTGAGAAAATTATCTAGCGTGTGGCACAAGGAGAAACAGAGATGCAAATATGAAAAAATAAGTGAAGAGGTGGACTGGCAGGGTAGTGTAAAGCCAGCACTTGCAGGGCAGGGTCCCATGTGGGTGCTGCTTGGCGTCCCGGCTGCTCCACTTCTCATCCACTTCCCTGCCAACATACCTGGGAACGCAGCAGAAGATGGTCCAAGTGCCTAGGTCCTCACCACCCACCTGGAGACCTGCAGGAGGCTCCCGGCGTCTGGCTTTGCCCTAGCCCGGTGTTGGTCACTGCAGACATCTGGGGAAAGAACCAACAGGTAGAAAATCTCTCTGACTTTCAAAAATGAACAATTTTTCCTTTCTTCTTCTTCTCCTTTTTTTTTTCTTTTAATAATCTTACTTAGTTGATTAGGGTACAAAGGAACGATTTTTTTTTAAAGGAAGAATTAAAGAGCCACAGAGACAGAGAGGAAAGGATTTACAGATATCTAATTAGAATTCTGGAAGAGGCACAGAATAGGAAGCAGGCACAACTTGAAAAAATATTAACTGGCCATTTTCCAAAAGAGTTGGAAGATCCTAAGTCACATATCTGAGCATCTCAGTGAGTCATTTAAAATAAGACAAAAAGACGGCTGTGTGGCACTGGGGTGAAAGTCGCCACCTGAGCTGGCCACATCCAGCTGGACAGTTTAGTCCTGGGTTTGTCCTGGATGTGCCTCCTCCAAACCAGTTCCTGCTGGTACTGTACCGTCTCGGGGGTGGCAGGTGACACTCCACCTGTGTCACTGTCGCTCCTGTGGGAGACCCGGATGAAGTTCCTGGCCCCTGCTCCAGCCTGGCCCAGCCCTGGCTTGAAGCAAACTTGGGGAGTCCATTTGTGTCTCTTTCAAATAAAAAGAAAATTTGTGAAAAGGCTTATTAAAGCCAAACAATCCTGTGCTGGACACATCACACTGAAATCGTTAGCATCAATGACAAGGAGAAGATTTTAAAAACTCAGCCCAAGAAAATAAAGAGATTAGCTGTACCAGTGGACCAAGAGCCGCAAAGGAAGAGAAGGCAACCACGACCCACTGCCACAGTGCCAGGGACCCAAAGTCCCAGCCAGAACTGCTCACGCAGCAAGTTGGGCCGTCCTCTGCTGCTTTCCCAGGGCATAAGCAGGGAGCTGGACGGGAAGTGGAGCAGCCAGGACATGAACTGGTGCCCATATGGGTTGCCAGTGTTTGCAAGGTGGAGGATTAGCCAATTAAGCCATCGTGCCAGGCTCTTTGCTTTGTACTAGCAGCCAAATGCTCGTAGCCAAGGTGAAGGGAGACTGTGGAGACGCGCGTGGGAATGGCTGGGAGGATGCGCTGTGGAAGGAACACCTCCCACCGCAGCCAGAGCTCCTCCCACCGCAGCCAGAGCTCCTCCCACCGCAGCCAGAGCTCCTCCCACCGCAGCCAGCGCTCCTCCCACCGCAGCCAGAGCTCCTCCCACCCCTTCGCAGGGCTCTCGGTGCCAGCTCCTTGACGGGGACCAGGCAGCTTTTCCCCTCTGCCATCTCACTTCCTGTTGCCTGCAGGTGTGGAAGATAGAGAACTCCTTACTGAATCACCAGAATCATACCGTTCAGAACACTTACCGCAGGACCCAGAAGCTGAACGACAGGGTCGTGGAAGCCAGCTTCCCGTACCGCTCCGAGCAAGGTGAGTGACGTCAACTCTTGCTTATTTTTAGCAGTTTGTCCTCCTCCCTCTTCTGGGTGGACATGGCCCTTCCGGAAATAGTAAGGGAAGGAGAATTGTCAAAACAGCCAGAGGCTCAGCTAGACCGAACGGGGTGGGCTGGCCAGAGGTTGGTGACTTAGTTCAGGACAGGCAGCGATGCCACTGAGCAGAGCAGAGACGATGGCAAGACAATGGCACGACTTCTCGTCTCCCTGGTCTTGGCTAGAACAGAGACGGAAGCCCGAGAAGGGCTCAAACCGACCCGGACAGGCCCAACTCGGGGGTTTCCTGCACACCTTCCCTCTTCATCTGGATTCCAAGCCCCACTCCCCGTCCTAGCGGGCAGGGTTAGCTAAGATGCCTCTGCTCACTGCTGGTGCTCAGCAGCCAAGCACCACCGATGGAGGCTTTGCAGTTGGGCAGGAAAAGCCATTTTGCACTGGTCAGATACTGCTGTCTAGCCTGCCGGCTGACTCAGGTGGAGATGCCTCCTCCAACATCAGGTGCTGAGGCTCCATTATAGCTCTGGCTACCAATCCCAGCTGCCTGGCAACGCAGGCCCTGGGGGGACAGTGGCATTGGCTCAAGGAAAGCCTGGACTGAGTCTCCAGCCTCAGGCTCCGGCCTGACCCTCTTCTGGCCACTGTGGGCATTTGGGAAGTGCCCCAGCAGGTCAAAGTGCACACTCTCTTTCTCTTTAATACACAGAAAGCATTGTTGCTGCATAGGATCAGGTGCCAGCCATGTTCCTAGCTCACCTCACTTCTGCAGTGCTCAGAAAGGAGACTCCATGCAACCCACCCACCTTTCGTCTGCCGCTCTGCAGAGCTGTGGCAAACTGCACGCATGCTGGGTGTGTTGTCTGCGACCCTCTGCTCTGTTAGCCAGATCTAATGCTGGAATGCTGTCCAGCAGGACAGAGCCAGCCTCCATCAGTGTGACTCCATCTCTTCATGTGCCTTCCAAGACTTGTACTTCATACTTCCTCCCCTGTGTCCCCCCCAGAAAGGCCCATTTGTCATTTTCTTCCTAGATTTCCTTCCTGGTTCATTCACTGCTACTTCCCTCCAATGCATGCCAACAGCAAAAAACCTGTCAGCAGCTCTGGTGGACAGGGCAGAGATGCCCTGCGCCCCCACCCCACAGCAGCCACTGCAACCGCTGCTTTTTCCCAAGGGCTGGCGTCTCCCGTCACGCAGGAGCGGTTCTTGGCAAAGTGGCCAAAGGGCTGCCAGACCCACAGATCCGTCTCCCTGTTCTTACTGCTGCCACGTTCCTTTCCCCCCTGATGGCATGCTATTCTCTTGCAGCAGCCACCAACAGGTGCCCTCTGTGCTGGGGAGTGCCCCCGTGTGTCCTCAGATGCTGTCGGGCCCCCACGGTCCCGAGCGCCCTGTGTGGCGTCGTGGTGGAAACTCATGGTTTAGGCTGGCTCCGCTCCCAGGAGGCAGCTGGGAGGGGGCACCTCTTCTCTCCCTGCCAAGCCAGGGTTCTAAGTTATGGCCCTCCCCTTGTGTTCTGGCAACAGAGAAGTGTGTGCCAGCTGGGTTTCCTCAAACCGAGCTCCCGTGCAGCGATTGGTTGCAGGCAGCCTGGGGGCGTGACTTAGGCTGTCTCACCGTTCTGCAGAATTCCGCCCCAGCTGGGTAGAGGCAGTCAGCTCAGCGATGATGAATGATCTGAGGAACCAAGGTCAACTACAAAAACAAGACACAGGCCAGGGACGAACCTCCCATAAGGCTTCTTTTCATCAGAAAAGCCTCCATGTGGCTGCCCGGTAGGACAGCGGACCTCACTTGAGAATCCCAGGTCTGAGAGCAGAGCACTCCTCCCACGGCGCCCCAAATCAGCCGCGGTGCAGGTGCTGCCCGGTGGGGTCACAGAGCCCGCCCTCCCATGCCCCGGTGGCCAGACGTGTGTGCCCGCCCTGCTGTCTGTCCCACATGGCACCCCTCTTCTGTGTCTCAAACTTCTCTGACCACTTCTTACAGCGCTTGTCTCATACCCTGAGTTCCAGTTCCATCTGTCGTCAGTTAACAGAAAGCTTGAGGCCTTGAGAAAATCTTTGAAACCCAGGAAAGCTAAGACCATGCTGGACTGTTTGGATTGTGGCCCTGGGAGGAAGAGGGGGCCCCGCCCGCCGCCTCCCCCTGCTGGATTCTGGGAAATCCTGTAAGTCTGGCTGGTGTGAGTCCTGTAAATCTACGCTGTGAGCACCTGCTGATTTCTGATTATCACAGGGAGAATCTTCGTTCATAAAGGGAAGTGATGCAGTTCAAATGATGAGAAGGAGTTTGTATCAGACTCTGCCGATGGAAACTGCTGCCGACAGAAATTCTAAAATCAAGCCCTAGCTAGCTTCCTGCTGAATCACTCACTTTGATCTGTTTAAATTGTAAATCAGCCCAAATGCCTCTTTAGCATTAAAATATAATAAAAATTATTTTTTGAATTAAAAATCTCTTCTCTAGTTCTGCGTACTACTTCAAATATCCTTCTTGGCCCCACCCGGAGGGATACAGGTGGGGGGTCAGAGATTAAGTCAGACAGGACGAATAGGAAAGAGATTCTTGCATGACTTTGCAGGCCAGAAAGCAAGAAACCCAGGGCAGGCACTGTGGTGCTGTGGGTTTTGCCGCAGGACTTCCATAGCTGAGCCCCAGTTTGAGTCCCAGCTGCGCTGCTTCTGATCCAGGTCCCTGCTATCATGCCTGGGAAAGCAGTGAAAGATGGCCCAAGTGCCTGGGGTCCCTGTCACCCACGGGGGTGGGGACCAGGATAGAGCTCTGGGTTCCTGCTGGGGGAGTGAACCAGCGGATGGAAGATCTCCCCTCCCTCCCTCCGTCTCTCTCTCTCTCTCTCTCTCTCTCTCGTTGTGTGTGTGTGTGTGTGTGTGTGTGTGTGTGTGTGTGTGAATCCTTCAAATAAAAACAGATTAAAAAGGAAACAGGATGCCTGCCTAGGCTGAAAGTGAGTCACCCAGACACGGGGACCCCTCCAAGGGGCTGCTGGGGCATGTACTATCAGAGACACTGCCAAGGGTCCAGCCACTGCACACACCGGAAGACGCCTGCAGGCACCTGGCCACCTTCACAGACGTGGACGGAAAGTCTCGGCCAGCCGTGCAGGCGCCGGGGAGCGAGCGTTGGTCTGCGAGGCGGCAGAGAAGACTCAGGTGTGACTTCCTCTCTGCGCGGATTCCAGAGTCATCTCCGAAGCGGCTGCTTCCGTGACAAGTGACCAGGGCCTACAACAGGAACTTCACAGCGCTGCATACCGGACAGCTGAAACCAGGGTGTTGGCAGGGCCCAACTCCTGCTGAAGCTGTTGGGGGTCTTTCCTGCTGTTCCCAGCTCCTGGTGATTCGGGGTGCTCCTGGGCTTGTGGCTGCATCACTCCATTCTGCCTCTTGCTCCCCACGGGTCCCGCCCCTCTCCCTCTGCCTCTTTCTGGCACCTGGCACTGGGTTTGAGGCCTTGGTGCTGATGCTGGTAACCACATCTCATAACCTTTATTATGTCCAAGAGGATCTATCTCCGTCCTTCCTACCTTCAAATAGGATCACGTCCACAGGTTTTGAAGGTGGACACAGCCTTGGGGAGGCCACTGAGAATAACTTCAAACAGCTGTGGGCTGGTTAGAACTAAAAGAACAGCTAAGTTCAATTTGGTGCAAAGGTTTGAAATACACGCATAGTCCTGCCCCTCCCTATCAAATACAACCCCTGTGTACGTTTTGCAGATTCCTCAGTTGACGAGGACAGTTCTTCGTGGAGGACTCCGGCTAGCATGTCCAGAAGGGCTTACGGTGGAGCCTCAAAGAGAGCAGACGCACAGGGTGGCAGTCGCGGGGCCCGAGGACCATCAGCACTTGAAGACAGTGGTTTGGGTTGTAAGCAGACAGGCAGTTGCTGGGTCACGGCTGCCAGGAGCAACGCAGTCTAGGCACCCAGCATGGTGGCAGGTTGGCCTTGCAGCACAGTTGAGGCCGTTGTATAAACCAAGGGCAGTGCAGGAAGGCAGTGTTCCTGTTGTGTCACATGCCTCCCTGGCTTGGTTGGCAATGGAGAGTCACATGCATGATAAAGGGGGACTCTTTGTCTCCACCAAGTGGCGATGCAGAAAAGTGCAAGGGCCATTGTCTGTGGCTCCCGTGAGCCAGCCACAGTGGACGGGGACTTCCGGTCAGCTGTGGGTCATGTCCATCTGCAGAAGTGTCTGGTCATTCTCGACGGGGTTGGGTCGTTTCCCCAGGGCGGGGTTGGGAGCGCGGCAGACGCCGGTGGATGGAAGCTCGTGTGATGGTGATGGATCAGGACAACAACCTGCAAAGCACAGAGCAGTGCTAACGTCACTCAACACGAAACTAGCAACGCAAAAATCACCGGGGACAGTGCTTGTAGCCTAAGAGAGAAACACGGGGAAAGGAGTGAGATGACACTTTATAGGAGCGGTGGAAATAATCCCTACACTCACGGAGGGTGTGGGCATCCCGCAACGGGGGGCATGGGTGTGGGTCCTGGCAGCAGCCCCCGACTGCAGCTTCCTGTTGAGGTGCTTGGGTACTGTCAAGTACTTGGGTCCCCACCACTGTCGTAGGAGTCCTTGACTGAGCTCCCAGACCCCAACCTTGGTCCCAGCTCAGCCCCAGCCATTGCAGGCACTTGGGGAGTCCAACAGGGCAGGGTGCAACCTGAGGCTTGTGCGTGAGTGCGCACGCGCGCGTGTGTGTGTTTCTATCTCTCAAAAACTAACAAGTTCATGAGAAGCCTCCACCTCTGTAGCAATAAAAGCAATGACAATTATGAGGAAACATTTCACAACCCCGACTGGCTAAGGCGATCCCCGTCATCTGAGGATGTGCAGCAACCTTCTGCCCGTGCAGGTGGGAGGAGAAGCAGGTGCAGCGACTCTGGGGAATTTGTCAAGGCCTCACAATGCTGAACAGGTGCACGCCCGATGACCCAGAACTCCCACGCAGGGGAATCCGCCTGGGAGAAGCCTGAGCCCAGGCCCAAGAAACACTCCTGCATCATGGCTCCTGACTGGGGGGATTGAAGGAGTAACCCGAAGGGGCTTGGCAGAAGGCCGATGCAGTCACGGCGTCTGGGTGAGGAGTGAGTGACCTAGACCTGGACAGGTCAACCAAAACAAACAGCAGAGAAAACACGCAGTGCTTTCTCTATTCAGGAAAAGTTGGACAATAACAAAATTATGAGATACAGAGGTAATTTCAAGGTAGCAAAATGCAAAACAGAGGTAACTGACGAGAAAAAACACCGAATTCAGGCCAGCGGTTGCGCCCCTCGTGAGCCGGGCCGGGATCGTGTCTGCGATGATGACATTGCTGATGGACACACGGTGGTCATTACTCATTATTACTGTTTATTCTCTGTAAGAGACAAATCTAATCATGTCATTTTCTCACCTCAAATCCCACTGCGGTTTTCCGGTTACACGCCGAATCCATTTCAAAGCCCGAAGCGTGCTGGAATGTGGGAACAGCAGGAGGTGGGGAGCGGGGGGGTGGTGGTTGCAGGAGAGCCAGAGACAGCAGGGTCGTCCTGGGGAGGCGGCCTGCTACCTGGGGGCAGGGGGTGGCTTGGCCACTGTCCCTGCTCAGAACCCAAGTAGGGCCTCGGGTCTCCTGTCATAAGCAGAGAGCTGGACTGGACGTGGAGCAGCTGGGACACGAACTGGTGCCCACACGGAATGCTGGCACTTCAGGCTGAGCTTTAGCCTGCTACGCGCTAACCTGGAAGACAGAATTAAAGGGCAAGTTGAGGGGTGGAAAGGACGCAGCCGGTTAAGCAGCCGCTTGCAACAGTGGCTCCCAGTATGAGTGCAGGTTCAAATTTCAGCTGGAGTCCCCTGGGCATTTGGAGAGTGAAGATGGAAGCTCGTTCCTGCTCTTTGTTTCTCAAATTAACTCTAAAAAAAAAAAAATTATTTTTATTGGAAAGATATACAGAGAGGAGGAGAGACAGAGAGGAAGATCTTCCATCTGATGATTCACTCCCCAAGTGACTTCAATGGCTGGTGCTGCGCCAATCCAAAGCCAGGAGCCAGGAGTTCTTCGAGGTCTTCCTCATGGGTGCAGGGTCCCAAGGCTTTGGGCCGTCCTCGACTGCTTTCCCAGGCCACAAGCAGGGAGCTGGATGGGAAGTGGGGCTGCTGGGATTAGAACCGACGCCCATATGGGATCCCGACACATTCAAGGTGAGAACTTAAGCTGCTAGGTCATGGCGCTGGGCCCTGGGCCATTTTGGACTGCTTTTTCCAGACCAAAAGCAGGGAGCATGTGCTCTCAGAACCACAAGTGACCAGGGCTGGCTGGCAGGGAGCAGGTGGCAGGCTGAGATGGCTCTAGGGCAACGTGCTGCCCTCTAGTGGCCACTGTCAGGGAGGCTAGTCTGCATTCTGGCCACCTGGAACCCTTCCAGTCTGCCCTCCCATTTTTCATATGGATAAACTGAGGCACAGGCACTTATAAAGATCTCCTGGTAACACAGGATCATGTCAGGGAACAAGACCAAAGTGCCTCCCCTTGGACTGACAGGGGACATGGGTCCCTGTCCCAACCACAAACAGCCTTTTCTTCTAAAAAATAATGGTCTAGTTTATTCAAAATTGATTGAAAAGGTGAAGCAAAAGAGCCAGAGATCTCCCACCTACTAAATGGCTGCAGCAGCCAGGGCTGGGCCAGGCCGAAGCCAGGAGTTAGGGACTCTACATGGGTGGCAGGGCCCAAGCACTATAGCCATGCCCTGCCAGGGCCAGAGAGGGTGTGTTCCCCACGGGTGTTCTGGAAGGTGCTGGGATCCAGCCCACCCCTGCTCTGGCAGTCTCCTGCACTGACTGACCCGGAACTGGCCAACAGCAGGGGGAGGTTCATCTCTCTTGAGGTGCGGCAGGGCAAAGCCAGCTGAATCTCAGTGTGTTGGGGCCCCAGCGTCTTCCAAGAGTGCGGTCACAGTCCATTTGTCTGTGGGCTGGGACCAGAGCCAACAGTGTAAGGGGGTCTGGTGAGACTGGTTCCTGGGGATGGCTCAAAGACTGACCCCTCGCCCACGTGGGTTTGGGGGAAGGCTCCATGGTGCCCATCTTCCTTAGACACAAAGATTAACGTGGGTAAGTGGGGACAGCACTGCACCCCCAAACCCCAGGAGGGCTTGCA